GAGAGAGAGAGAGAAAGAGAGAGTGAATACCGTATGTCCGTCGATGGTCCTCGCATTTTCGATGACGCTCGTCAGCCGCTCCGTATCATCTAACAGCACTTTATTCGTGTATCTCTTCTCGAATAAAGCCATTGATCGTTAGTCCGACGCGAGGCAGGGCCCGTACGGGGCCGAATGCGTTCGTCTCTCGCACAGTTTCCGCGCGTCGCCATACATGACGCGCTTCTGCTTCATTTCAGCATTGGGCTGCGAACGGCACGGTGACGGCGACAACGCAGCGACAGCGTCAGCGACGACGGCGGTGGTGGCGGTGGTGGAGGCGGCGGCGACGGCGGTACCACTTATCGCGGAATACTTTCAATGTCAGCGGCCCCACGACACACGATACCACGCACGTACCGATACAAACAAGGAAGGGTGACGAGAGCACTCGTCGCGATAGCTCACGCGATAGCTCCTTTCGACGCTGCTCGACGCGCACATCCGAACCAGTCGCAGTTACTCGTCGTCACGTCGCGTCGCGTCGCGTCGCCGCAAAGCCGAGACTCCACGACGCTCACCGAGCGATTTGTCATTAGTGTTCGTGACGTCATGCCTTCCCGACAGGTGGATTCTTAGAACGATATTCGCAATTTGATCATGGGTCCGAGACTGTTTCGGAAATCCAGCCTTCGACTCGTGATTGCGCTCGAAAGGATCTTAAACGCAAGATCAGATTATAAATATCGATGATAATCTATTTTTTTTCATTTAATATTATTCAAAGTTGCGAAACTTTATCCGTCCAATGAAATGATCGTGTTTAAAATTATAAAATGATTATATACAGTATTTTAAGTTTGCATTTGAACGATTTTAAATCGGGCTAATATCAATAAATATCAATTTATAGAATGAAATTTGTAATTAGATTTTGTATTCATACACAAGATCATTCAAAATTTCGACAAAATGATCGTATAGCGTCTTGCATTTAAGGTGATTTTAAATAAAAGCTCGAACTATGAATAGGTATCTTTAAGCCAATCGCCTAGTCGCGTGATTTTGAAAACGAGATGTTCATCTAAGTGCACCGCGTGCATCGTGACTGTAAATTGAAAAAAAATCTGAAGCTTTGTTCCGGTCGATTAATTTACCGTTGCGTAACCCATTGTATATTTCCCGACCCGTATATTTCGTCTCTTCACGGTCCAACACTCGGGACACGTGAAACTTTCGGACTCGCGGCTCTCAAAATTACGTCGCACGCGGCGAACAGCAGGTAGTGCGAGGCGCGAGGAAGTGCAGGTGCAGCTGGCGCGCGCGAGTGCAGGTGAACCGTACCACGGGTTCGATACGTCTTCTTTTTCCTTCCTCATCGATGGATCTCCGTCCTTATTGGGACGAAGTGTCACGGTTTGCTTGTCACGCGAGCTCGTCCGCTTCGGCGATGACGTACGACGTGTAACGCCATTGGACGGTGGTGCGATCGGTGCAGCTGCCAGCGGCGATAACCTCGGCGATCGCGCCGACTCCTCGCGTCGAGATCGGCGACGCGCAACCGAACGGGGCGTCCGCGGCATGTAACCGAACTTGAATGTGCATGTCCATGATATCAGTCTCCTCCTCGACGCATCGCGCGTGGCCGTACGACCACATCACGTCAAGCCTGTGTGATGATCCCCGTGACGGTGACGGTCAGCGAGTCGCAGTCGAAGCCAAGATTCCGGGACGTCGATAAGATCCTGATTTGTTGACGAAGACGAGGGACGTCCGGCTCGGAAAATGACGGAGAGTCTGATAAACGAGTGGCTGACGGACTGCAAGGATGTCGCGCCGTCGGAGCTGCACATGTTCGCCAGGACGCTCTCGGAGGACAACGAGATCGTACGGGCGCTCTATGTGCTCCTGGAGGAGCGCACCAAGTATAGCGAGGTATATAACGAACATCTGGAGTCCAATCGAACTGGCATATTTGCAATTCAAAACTCTGCTTGTTACACTATCTATTGTTTCCTAGAAAAGATTGCGTTTGATATCAAATTTTTTATCACTGCATTCTAGATGAATCATGTTAAAAAAAAGGTTGTAATCAATGATAGAAGAGGGGAAGATACGAATGCATGTGTCATATATAATTAATAACTGACTATACCAGCAATATATTTATTTAAGGAATATCTTAATGTATAAAGTATTTAAATTTGAATAGATTTTATTCTAATCTAGAATTGTGTTGTTGCAGTTAATGGACGAAGTGTGTAACCAGTTGTATAATTTTTATCGATCTCGGGAAATAGAGTTACAACGGTTTACTCTGCAATTTCTACCGACATTAATACATATTTATTTAAATTCAGCTGCACATGGTGATATTAAGGTAAGATTTTACTTGTCTTGGAAACTGGAATATAGCAATGTAAATAATAGTATCTCCGTGACTTACTTATATCATTTGTCAATCATGTTTTGTGCTATCATATAATTAGCTATCATGTTTTGTCAATCATGTTTTGTGCTATCATATAATCATTATAATATTTAAGCAGAGTTATGTAAAGAACATATAACTTACATGATAAATAAACCTGTGTTATTCTGTTACAATAGAATTACAAAGTTAAGTTTATGGTTTCTAGGATAGAGATTGATTTCTTATTATGTTATGATTCTCATGAGAAATTATACTGAATAATATATATTTATAAGCGTTAAAATAGTACATTTGTTAATAGTATCTAATTTTTAGAGTTGTCGCTCGCTTGAGACTCTATTAATTGGATTATATAATTTGGAAGTGGTTGATAAATCAGGACAACAAAAAGCGATCTCATTTAGACTACCATCTCTTGCTATGCTGTCTATATATCACGAGGTATGTTGATACAATGGATTTAGAAAGAGTAGAAGTAAATGCTTAATCAAATATATAGAAGAAATGTCTTATATGATAAATAGATGATAGTAAGATTCCAGTTAATGTTCAGATTACATTTCTAGAATTTAAAGCATTAGTGTTTTTTTTATAGATGTTATCGGAGATGTATTAAGTATCATTACTTGAAGTCGATCAGTTTGCAGAAATATTCTATTTAAGAAAAAAATATTATTTTACCTTGCCTCTGGAGAAATAGTATTGAATGAGATAATCTTAAATGGAATTTTACTGTAATTTGTGTGACTTATTAAATATAATATTTAATATATAGAAAATATATTTAATTTATACATACATATAATTTTATTCAAGAATTTTATTACAAGAGAATATAATTTTTCAAATTAATTTTTATATAGATTATTAAATTTTTTTGGTTTTAGATTTATTTTTTTATTATTAAATTATTTAATGTAATATTCTTCTTAACAGCCTGCGAGTTTAGCACCAGCCTCATTAACGGAAAGCGCGGTACGTCGCTTTGAAGAATGTAACTCGAAACTTGTAAGCTGGGGCCCATTGCAACAAGTAGAAACTTTAAATGCGCAAAATAGATTGAAAGTTATGACAGCTCTACTTTTTATTTATAATCAACAACTTGGATATATAAATAAATTTGCCTTAGAACAATTATGTAAAGTTGCAACAAAGTAAGTTTAGTTGTAATTCTTAACTATAAGAAAGCTGCTATTTTCATTTTCAAATATAATGCTATTTTATCTCTGTTACAGACTGGTTACTCAAGGGTTTATGAAACCAGGACATCATCAACGTTCCTCATACGGCAGTGAGTCTAGCTTTGTTCCAAGGCTTTTACCACGTATACCAGTATCCAGCCAATTTCTCTTGGAATTCTTGCATGCTGTATATTTTGCCATGTATGTAATGCATTTTGCAAATTTAACATTTTTAACTTTGATTTCTACGTTCTTATCGCTTCAATTAACACATCGATTTCGGCAAGACATGGTATTTTAATTAATTTGCTAATATCGCATCTTATATATCATATGTATATATGTATATTTCTTTATATATAAATAATGCTTTTATTTTTCTAGGTATAACGAATGCTGGTATGTAGGAAATCAAGCCATAGAAGATATTCATAATAGAGCATGTTATGAAGCATATCCAAACGTAATGTTAGTTACCAACGCAATACGCAATTCTGCCAGTTCTGGAGCACCAGGTAATGATTACTGTAGAAATGAATGATAATGAATACGTTATCTATTTAAGTAGGTTAAATATATTATACATAAGATTGTTCTTTTTGTTGCTCATTAAGGTCAACCGAGCGATGGACCAATTGGAATTAGTGTTGCATTGTCTCCAGCAACCGCTACACCAACCGTTTCAAAGTCTATGATCACAAATGCTTCCTTCCGTACTAAGAAATTACCAGGTATGTCAATATTTTTATATTGTGTTTATCTTTATTATAAAATATTAATCTTTTTACGACGACGTTTGAGAAAGAAAAAAATTGGCGATAATAACGAAATAAATGAATTGTAATTTGAGAAAATACACGAGTAATATTATTTGATATTACGTCTAAATTTATTATGCAAAATAATATATTTATGTTCATTTCTATTAATTTTTCTCTTTTCATTGGACATTAATAAAAAATTTATCTCCTGATGTTTTTGATATCGTGTTCGAAATTAAACATAATTATTGTGTTTTACGCAAGTTTGTACATTGGCGAATATTTCTGGTGAATAAAGGTGCTAAAATACTAACAACATTAATATCACAGCTATGTTTTTCTATTGAAATAGTTAACACGTATAAATAAAAATTTGATTGTGTGTTTGAATATTAGCTACCTTACACAATCTCCGATATGTACAACAGACATAAATGATACACAAGCGGTTATATTTGCATGGACATGAATGTAACGAATATTTTTAGGCCCAAGCTTGCATGTGACATCCCTCTGAGTTTTATGAAATTGCTGAATTGAAAATTGTTTTTGTTCTATGAATGAATAGTTACCCAAACAAGCAGATAGAGTAACCGCACCCATTTCTGGGAAAATCACGTGCAACGTATTATTTATGTTTCCTTTCATCTGTATTGTTTGATTTCCTTTATTGTAATTCGCAAATCATAAAATCCATATATAAATAATAAAATGCCGTTTCGCCGAATTCGTATGTTAAAGTGTTAAAGTATATATAATAAGTTAGAGAGTTGTAAAAAAAGTCCAAACAAATGTGGATTGCGCGTCTATGTCATTAGACGATCTGGATGAGAAGTTATTTGCGGTCGAATTGAGCAATTGTCAAGTCGAGAAGCAACAGCGGCCGGCAGTATCTGGCAGCGGCAAACGTCGTCCATGGCATTGGAAGCATGCACTTCCAAATTCGGTCGATAAGAAGGACACGAGCGTGGGGAAGGCGCAGTCCTCCTCCTCATTGGAAAGCTCCAGACGTGGAAGTATATGCAGCAGCAGCCAAAGCTCGCCGATAAAATCCTCTCCCAAAAAGAACAAAGATCAACAGTCAAAGAAAACGATTAACGACGACGGCAGTCAAAAAGCACGAAAAGATAGCATGTGCGATTCCTCTTTTCCCGACGATAGATTAGCAGCCGCTAACGCGCATCTATATAGCTTGTTAGAGGAACAGGCTCTAGGAGAAATCATTCGTGAATCGGTGGAAAATGTATATACAGAAGGCAACAGTAGATCAATGAAATATTGTGCCACAGCTGCACTCTCGTCAAACACATGGTATTATCACTCCAGTTACAACACCGTAGGATGGCGTAAATCTCATCACGCTATGACTCTCTTCTCATCAAATTTACGATTATGTTTTTATTTGGTATACACTAACGCACACGCAGGAATGAGTTGTTAACTTATAATAATTCATGTGATCGTGGATGTATTCCTTTCAGAAATACCACTCCCAGCTATAATGAGACATACGCATAAAACAAAATCTAAACAGAAACCAGCACATGACTGGAAAACATGCATGTCGACACGGCACATTTATCTTCCCGCACCAAGAATTTCAAGTATACTGCTCGACTAGAAACTCTATTTGATGTTCCTTTCCTATTATTTTATTATATATCTTTATTGATGTTATTTAAGTATTACTTGCAATTTATCTTTTTTTATATTATAATTTTCCGCATTGTATATTCTTTAATTCAACAATGTTTCTTATTATTTTTAATATTTTTTACGAATATATATTTCTTGGATGTTTCACAATCTTATTTATAATTTATTTATAATACACCTATATACTGTAAAATTATATAATTAATGTAAAGAAAATTAAGACACTGGTTTACATGTTTCACAAAGTACCTTTCTTGTTTCCATTTTTTTTTTTTTTGCTAAAATTAAAAGTTTCTTCCCTCTATTGCGTATGCACAATGCAATTGATATGCTATTTAAATGCCCGATTTTATTAGTTTCTAGACATAAATAAATTATATTTATGGCATAAATATTTCACACACATATAAATCATTATGTAGAATGTATATGTATTTCTTTGCCTCTAAGATGCTTGTTAATTTTTAATATCGCTTTTATTATTGTCAACTCCATTTTGACGATAAAAGTTTCTCTTTTTATAATACAGGAAACATTTTCTTCTGCCTTCAGATGACATACCAATACAAGTTGTAAAAGATGAAACTACCGGAGAGGGTAAAAGTAACCTGGTGTCAATCATGGAGGAACCAGAAGCCACAGAACCGAATCGTATTGGTTCCATGAGACAATCAAAGGATCAAAAGACTGCCTCAAAGATTACGAATTTCCCTGTGCTCGGAAAGAAACCGAAAGAAAAAGAGGGAAAGCTAACGAAAAATGCTCATGTCACGTCGTCCGAGAAGGAGAAGAAGATAGGCTCTCAGGCAACGTCGAAAGAGAATATTAATAAAGGAAGTTTATCAATGTTAAATAATGAACAACCACCGGAAATTGACGGAAACATTAACGGATGTGCGATCCGAAAGAAAAATAATGTAGAAAATAATTCGATCATAATAGATCCGAATGTAGCGTTAATCGAAAGCGAGAGACTGGCGTTAAGTAGTGACGTTACCGATGGTAGTAATATAGAAAATTCTATTAATTTAAAAGCGCATAATGAAACAGAGTCTATGGGTTCTTCAATTCAAATCAGCTCTGTTTAATAACAATAAAAGGTGTAAAATATATAAAAATAGTAATGGGCTGAACATGTTAAACAAAGCTGTTTTCTTCCAGCTAGCGAAATCTTATTATAAATCCATGTATAACGTATACACGTTGCCTTTTCCTAGAATTATTTAAGATCACACGCACTATTTTCTCAACAATGATACATATATATTACCACTGCATTGCGATATTTATAAGGATCATATATTTTTCTTGACATGTAGCAAAATTTTAGTCAGTCCATTACTGTATTGATCTCCATGGTGAACCTAAAAATGGGAGAGGGAACAATATGAGCTAAAAGTACATGGTTGTTTTATTAAGTGTTTTGTGCATATCGGTGCATATTGACTAATTTTTGTAATAAAATCTATAATTTATTCCATATATTTTATAAATGTACGTCGCCATATATGGTATTGTAACACCTCTTTATTCAGATACAGTTATCGAGTTTCACT